AAAATACTGACCTCTGTCATCATTTTAGGTGGGGGAACTTGCACAATCGGTGGCTGACTAAATACTTTTTTGCCCCACTAAATATGTTTGCCTACTGGTGGTGGTCAGAGGGCCCGGTGGCGCCAGTGTGCAGCAGCCTCACCTCTATCAGTGTGCCCCAGGGCAGCTGTGGCTACAACGTAGCTTACCATTGCCAGTGTGTGAATGTGTGTGTGAATGGGTGAATGACTGAATGTAGTGTAAAGCGCTTTGGGATCCTTAGACTGAGTAAAGCGCTATACAAATGCAGGCCATTTACCATTTATATATCTGTATTTGCAGGAGTTTACTCTTACACTTATATTTTTTTCATCATTACCCATATGAACTTTTGCACTTTTTGGATGGATGCATTTTATGTGACTGGAATGGGCTCTTTGTGGCAACGAGAGATTTTCCCAGGGGGCAGTAAGGCAGATCTTGGATCTTGATTGCTTTTCCACTGTTGTGTGACTACTCATTAAGGCTGTTCTGGTCGACTGAACTATTGCCTAGTGTTGAACTTGGCTCAGTCATGCAACTTCTAACTGAAAAATTAGAGTATGTTCTTCTAAAATGGTTTTAACAACTTTTTGTACATGTTTTATTTTATTTTATTACCTGGTCAGTATTCTCACCTCAAAAGGGTTTAACTTGGCTTCATGTGAGATACAACATAATACTATATCTGCTCATTGTAATGTCATCAAGTTAACCGTACAAACAATTTTATCATACAGTAATTGGACAATATGTAAAGTTGTTTTGGTCACCTACAGGCCAGCCACGAGGGCAACTGTGACTTCATGATCATCCTCTGTCCTTCCTGTAAAGAGCTCATGAGAGCCAATGAGCAGGAACGCCACAATGAGAGAGAGTGTCCGGAGAGAACGCTCAACTGCAAATACTGCAAAGAACCCTTCCTGTTAAAGAATATCAAGGTCAGGCTTCTCTCTGTTACAGTAATGCATCATAAAAAGAGCTGTTGCATTCTGAAACATTAACATGATGCTAATTTAGTTGACGTTTATGTTATATTCAGTATATGTGATTAAATGCATATGATAAAATATTGTAATCTCAACGTTTGCTTATTACGTTTTCCATGGTATTCAGCCTTATCTTATGGCCATCTTGTCTCAGCACTTAGTCATCAGTGAAGTATAAGATATGCAGAAGTATATGGCAAGTGTGTCCAATATTTCATGGGAAATGATCTGAGCCTGGTTCTGCCGGATGTTTCTTCCTATTAAAAGGGAGTTTTTCCTTCTCACTGTCACCAAAGTGCTTGCTCATAGGGGGTCATATGACTGTTGGGTTTTTCTCAGTATGTATTATTGTAGGGTCTACCTTACAATAATATAGCACCTTGAGGCGACTGATGTAGTGATTTGGTGCTGTATAAATAAAACTGAATTGAATTGAAATGAAATGCTGACTCATTGTCACCACATACCCGTAAACACTTGTGTTTGTGCCATTACATTTGGGTTTAAATTTACCCTTCTCAGACATATTCAAGCACACAGATATGATACAAATATAGTTTTAGTGAAATAAAAGGAAAACAAAGATATATTTACCTTTAAAGCTATTCATAAATGACCATTGAGTAAATTCAGTAACCACTGAATGAGCTTTCACCCATATTTTGGTATTTCAGTGATAGTCATCTGTACACCTACAAACAGGGCTAACAACAATAACATCTAATTTGGCTAATTTATGTAATTTTCTTATATCAGTATGAACTACCTCTGCATGCCTTAAGGCATCTATATAGTTAAACTGGTGTTAAGTTAAATAGTTAAGGCAAGGAGCTGGACGAGAAGTGTTTTCTTTTATTCTGATCTACTTATTTTTTCAGGCTCATGATGAGATCTGTCCAAAGTATCCAATGATTTGTGAAGGTTGTGCGAAGAAAAAGATCCCCAGAGAAAAGGTACTGCAGAGATTTAATAGTTTTTTCATAATTCTGTTAGATTAATTTCATTTGCCATTTAGCTAGGGATCAAATTCTACACCGTATTCTACAGATCATTAGCTTCTTTCATATTTTTTGTTTTGCAGTATGTGGACCATATTAAGTTCTGCAGTAAATTTAAAGCTCCATGCAGATTTCATGTTGTTGGCTGCGATACGTCTGTAAGTAGACATTTTTGTCAGAATTTGCTGTATGTGTATCACCTGATCACCTGTTAACATCATAACTATTGAATCATTTAATACCTTGGCAAAATTCAACTAAATCTTCCATGTAGCAGACTAAATTTTTCCAACAGTTTTAACTAAAACAACAAAAAGTAAGTACCTTATTTCTTTACTAAAATAACCATAATTTGACAAAGGTTGGGCAGTGTAAAATCTCTATTAAAAAAAGTGTATGAATATTCTGCAGTGGTTTGCATATAATGTAAAGCCAAGGTATTATATTATTCAGCAGTTGAAGAGTTCGTTGCTACCCACCTGTATGCAAATACTGTGATGTTGAGTAGGAAGCCTGTTTGTATATTAGCACAGTGCCTATACGAAGTATTCAGCTATTGGGTTTTTAAGACTTTCTCTAAAGGACAGTTGGTTTATACACAATAAAATTTTGATTGCAGCATTCATCCTTTCACATCAGTAGGCTCACATCAGTAGAGACAGGGCTCATTCCCACAACAAAAACTATGCTGAAAAGTGTGTTGATAACCTTCTTTGTGACAGGCTCTGATAGAAATGTATTGAATTATTATAAATACTGAGTGAAAATATAAATGATGAATGAAGAAAGTTGTTGGACTGCTGTTAACGACTGGTATTATTATTACTAGTTGTTAATAATGTCCATGTCACAATTGGTGTTATATGGCAGGCTTAAATAGTAAGAAAAAAGTGTGTAAAATTACAAGTTCTGGTAGCTCATTGTCCAGATTGTCCATTTTGTTGTTTTTTTTTAACTGTAGTCATAAAAATCAGAGATTTTAATAGTAGAAAGGGAAAAACATAAACTTTTGTGTTTTTCACAAAGTTACAGAGGTTTTATTAGACACATAGCTAAGCGGTTTGCTGTTTGGCATAAATTGTGACCGTTGAAATTTATTTGGCACTGACTAACAGAAATGAGACTTTCTTGTCAGGTGTTATTTTTTTTTGGAAAACAAAAACAGTTGCTGACAACACTGTACACAACGGTAGACAGGTGCATAATAAGCAAGCAAGTAAGGCAGAAAACAGAGAGTTGTGATGGGAAACTAGTCTCAAAGCACACGGAGAGATGGTGGTGAGGGAAAGAGGGAAAGAAAGAAAGTGAGAATTACAATGTTTTTCAAACGTGATCGTGATCTTGTCTTCTTGCTGGTTGAGTGAGTTTTGGTTGGAGAGTGAAGAAATCTGAAGTTTCGCAATCTGTGAAATGTCGGCTTTTTGCACCCAAAGGGCATGTACTGTACGTGGGATCCACACTTTGTGTTTACATCTTTTTGCGGAATCTGTTTACCTGCTCTTTAATCTTGTGCTGTTTTGGCTTTTTGGTGATCGTTGAAATGGATTTATGAGTTTTTAGCGGAGTTTCTGTGGATACCACACGTATATTTAAATAACAGATCTGGCAGTACATCACTCTTGCCCCCAGTACCGGGGGCATTGTGGGAGATGTAGTTTATGGTCAATGTGCGCTTTTAAGCAGCATATAGTAAACTTATTTTAAGACAATCATGCACAAGCTCCTGTGGGCCATATAAATGATTTGGCGGGCCACATTTGGGCTGCAGGCCTTGAGTTTGATGTGTTATATGGCATTCTAGCCACTGCTTCCAAACTGGATTCTATCTGAACCACCAGCTGTGGAATCTGCCAACAAAACATTGGCAGTAGATGATTTTGTTGCAGCTTGCAGCCTGTTCCTAACTGGTTGCTGATCTAGTGCATCTTAAATCAAGTTTCTCACAGACCCAGTGATCTGCCGTTAAGAATCTGAAGCAAAGTCTCAGATCTTAAGTCTAACCATTTGAACAAGCCAATTAAAAACAATAAAGAAAAAAATGATTCAACATGATTTCAGTACTAGTTTTAAGTTAAGCCTAATTTGGGAATGTGGTACGTTCCACAATTTTGTTGTACATGTACAATGAAAATAAAGAATTATTCTAGTCCATTAATAAAATGTATGTTTTTAGACTCAATACGAACACTGTTATTGTTCTGTTCTAAAGTTGGGAGCTGTTACTGAGTCTAAGTTCTTGTCCCGGTTTCCAAGAGCTAGCCCAATTAGTCAGTTGTTATACTGAACAGGTAGTCAATGTGGACGTGTCAGGATGGGTAAGATATTCTCACATTTACTGCTACAACAACAGATATCAGCTTGTCACTAGGGAAACAACAAACAGGAATGGCAAGGGATGGATGGTTAGCAGCAATTGAACTTTAAAAATAAGATTAAGATACAGGATTGTTAACTAGTAAATGAACTATAGTTATCTAGGCATTGACATGCTGAGTTGCGAAACATACTGGATTTTTGGTTCATCTGTGAGTAATTCTTTCACTCACTATTGTCCATATTTATCAAAAGATAAAGATCTGAACACTTGTGTGTTCAAGACCACTTAGGATGCCTTTATACTCAATTTTTAACATTATTAGCAAAGCACACAAATAAAATGAAGCCAAACAAAAATAAAGGAAATGATCAGAAATCTATTCCACGTCATCCAAAAAAGTCTTTTTCAGGAAAAAAAAGGACTTAGTTTACATATTAGAGTTGTATTTAACCTGATTAAATGTACATTTTATTAGATGTAGCTAATCTATTTAATGTAATATGCAAATGTTTTTCTGTGCAATCTCTTAAATCTGAACAGTTACAGCTGTGAATACTTTGTATAGTGTATATATCCATTAATTTCTCTATTATTTGCTTTGTGCTCGTATTATTATTTTCTTCTGTGGTGGCAGTGTTTCACATCATCATAATACACAATAAAGGATTTTGTTTAGTTTCCTAATGTGTTTCTGCTTTTATCTTCCATTCATTCCAAGGTGGAGAAAGAGAAGATCCATGACCATGAGCGCCAGTGTTCGTATGAACACCTTAACCTGCTTCTGCATTTCATCATGGGCATCAAGGTGAGCCTGGAGAGCCTGCAACCCCAAAGCCTGGAGGTGGCCAGCCAGAAGCTGCAGGAGCTCCACCAGTCCCTCAGGGATCTGGAACTCAAGATGAGCCAGCTTGGTGGGTGTGTTGCAGCTCCTGTGCAGGGAGCATGTGCCCCGACCCTAACCACATCCTTCACCCCGCTGCCCAGTGCCATGGGTGCCGCTTTGGAACTGCAGCTACAGAGTGAAAAAACCAAAGTGGCTGAGCTAAGCCGGCGCTGCCAGGAGCTGGAGCTCAAAGTGAGCACTTTCGAAAACATTGTCTGCGTCCTCAACCGCGAGATGGAGCGCTCCTGCACTACCATGGAGGCCTACAACCGCCAACACAGACTGGATCAGGACAAGATTGAAATCCTCAATAACAAGGTGTTAAAATGACACATGACCTGTGAACATCCTCAATGCATCCCTTGACTTTACCACAGAGTAAACATTATCTTTTGTAAAGATTTTCACTGTGGCCTATTTACTGCCCTTTGCAGTCCACAGTACAAGTCATTAGGATGCCTCAGCGGCTAAACGCATTGATGAGTCTTCCGTCTCTCTGAAATGCCTGTACCCTGTTATCATTAGTTAGCACTTTAAAACAATTCATAAACCATGGCCAGGTCGTTTCTGATGGGTCAAGTGATTTAAAAATAAATAAATGAATAAATG